ATCTACATCTGTTACTCGTAAATAATAATACTAATATATAATGTTATACAAATAAAGAAATCTAACTAATAAACTAACATAATAATGCTAATAAAAATATATATAAAAAATTAAGAAATAAGGTTAACAATGCTTGGTATGACAGATAAACAAGCTCGACTGTATCAGGTGAAGAATCTGAGGGCTTGCTGTTAATAAATTTGTTATTATCTTCTATAGAATTTACTAAAAATCCTTATAATAAACCTTGTTCAACTTCAATCATTAAACTTGATATGTATGTATCAGCTTCTGTTAAATTTCTGATAGATTTTTCAGATATATTTTGTATGGATTCTTTTGGTAAAATTTTTTTTTAATCGTGAACATTGTTCACAGTTTTTATTTTACAAGATAATGGAGATGACATCAATTCTTCTGAAGAAGTGTTTTGTTTTCCTGAAAATGCCTCTTAATCCCAAAGTTTCTTTTCTTTAATACTTTGAATTATTTCTTTACTAACCTTTTCCTTATATATTGAATCTAGAAATATATCAATCTCTTTGTCTTCCAATAATTTAGCCTCTGTATGGATATGTAATGCGAAAACATTACTCTTTGTGAGACTATCCTTTTGGGAGTTATAGGAGTAATGCTAGTTATAAAATTATTTGTTTCACAGTGAATTGAAGTTTCTTTATCAGAGTGAACTTCGGTAGATGGAGAAGTTATTTGTGATTCAGAAGATGAATCAGAATTTACTACCTTGTTCTTTGATTCTGCTTCCAGTGAAATTACAACAATTTGATCCTGTTTGATTCCTTTGATATTGTTATCTAGTTTAACAATAAGATCAGTCTTTTCTTTATTACTCTGCTTCAGTTTTATGAATCTGGCTTCAATCTCTTCCTTATCTTGTCTTAGCTTCACATTCTCAGCCTCGACTTCAGCAAACTTTTTTCTAAGTTCAGTGATTTGTTAAATGAGATCAGAATTTAATTTTCTTAATATATCAATTGTAGATTGTGGATTTTCCATTATTTTACATATTTAAAAGTTTAATCACATGAAAAAAAATATTGGTGTAAAAATTGTGTTAACACACCTTTGCTTTATTGATTATAATAAAAATTGAAAAGAATCAAATCTATGTATTATTCTATACTATTGCTTACACTATAAATTTTTTTATTTTCTAAACTATCTATGTTACTACATTATTTCAGAAGTATTAATACGAACAATTTTGATTACAATCTGATCATTTGTTAGAATAGAGGTAATCAGTTATGCCTATATGAAAATATACAATATTAGAAATGAATTAATGATCCTGTTAAACTCAGTGTATATCAGTTGGTTATTTGTCATCTAATTTATCTTTTTCGAGCCAGGGATGAAAAAAGGCTAAAGGTTTATGTTGTCTACCTTCCACAATACTAATAAATTTCTCAGAAATCTGTATGAATAGTTATCACAAGCCTAGAGGTGAAATGCAAAGTCACAATCTTAATTGCATTGTTATGGTATAAAATGTAACATTATAATTATTAGTTAAAATTTCAATATATTAATATAGTATCAATACATTATAACAGAGGATGAACAATTATTTAACTTATTATTAATATTTAAACA